GCTTTTTGCTTTTTGGTTAATGTATTTTTTTCACTGTAAAGATGTTACTAATTAGAAAAAAGTAGCAAAAAAAAAATCATTAAACATTGATGTTTGATGGAAGGTCAAAAGTTTCTTTTGGTAGTTTTTTTTTGTTTCCCGGAAAATTTCTCCAAAAATCTTGATTCCTGTATCCGGAACGGACGGAAAAAAGTGAGAATTCTTTTTAATCATATAATGGGAAATTCTGTTATCTTGGCAAATTTATGGAATCAAAGTTGTATGAAAGCAGAAAACAAAAAAAAAACTTTCCGGGAAATTTTCTTGTAAAACCAAATGAATGGATTATTTCCAAACTGTGATATTCATTTTCCTGAATCAAACTTTGTTCAATTTCAAATGTGTGTCTGTGCATTTGTCACATTCGAAATGAAGTTAAACTTAAAATCAATGAGGAATTGAGGAATGAAGTGTTTTTAATTGAAACTTTGAATGGAAGTTTTTTTCTCTACCTTTTTCTTTTCAATGGAATCTTTCTCTTCTTTTTGTTTTGTTTTCGCTTTTTTTTCATTCTCCAAACAAACAAATCTTACTTTCAAATCTTCTTCATTTCCATTTTCGATTTTCTTATTCCGCTGTCGTTTGGTTTGATTCCGAAAATTCAATTAAAATAGTGAAAATAGAGAATTTCTTTTCTTTTCGTTCGTTTCTTGTCCATTTAATTTGATTTACATTGAATCGCAGCTGATCAATCGGTTTTTGTGTGATTAAATTTTCTCTCTGATTCACTGCTCAATGTGGTTTGATTGATTTTTGTTTCTGTTGTTTTTTTTCGGCAACAAAAAAAATTTATTGATTTCAAAAGAATTTTTCTGCTTATATTTGCAGAATATTCTCTCTTTCGGTTTCTCTTTCGTCAACATTGTTGATGAATTGCGAAATGGATTTTTTTTGAACAATTTTCAGAGAATCTCGATAGTGATTTGGTTGGAATGTTTTTTATTATTTTTGGTTGTTGACCAAATATGATTGAAAAACAAAAAATTCATATTCTGTCATTCAGAATTTCAACAGAATGTTTCAATTGTTTTAAATTTTCATTATTAAATTTTCCAATGAAAATTCCTTCATAATCTATTGTAGCAAAATAGATATTTGGCTACAAACAAAATTCAATTCTGTCTGTCTGGGTGAGATGTTGAACATGATGATTACGATGAAAAAACTTGTTTGTAATCAGACCACAAACACATTCTTGATGCTTTTTTGCTTTGTTTATCCAGAAACAATTAATATGATTCGAATTGATCGATTCAATCGAGAGAGAGTAAGAGAAATACCGAAAATGCGGTAAAAAAAACTAGATTCAAATCAAATTGAATCGGTTTCTGTCCAATTGAAAAACAAAAAAAAAAACAAAATGTTATGTCATCACGTTTCCAAAAACAAAACAAGGATGATGATCATCATTAATTTAAAATTATTATTCGTCGGTTTCTTTGGCTACAACATTATGCCGAACAAGAATCAAGAACCAATGGAGAGAGAGAGAGAGAGAGAGAGAGAGTTTTTTGTATGTTTTTCCACCATAAAAACAACAAACCACGAATATCAGAAAAACCGAATTACACTGATCAAATTTGTCCATCATCATCATCATTCATTCATTCATATCATTCAATGATGGTCCATTATATGGTTATTTTATTTTTTCATGTTTTTTTCCTTGTTTTGGTTGTTGTTTCTGGTCCGAAAAACCCGATTACTCATTTTTTCTTCCGAGATGGCCAAATAGCGAAAAAAAACTCGAAATTCAATTTGCTTTTATGAATCTTCAGTAGCAGTAGTAGTTTTTTCATAAAAAGTTTTTTTTTACTCATAAAAATAATGTAGCAATTTTTTTTATGATTATTTCTCGACAGCAGCAACCCATAATAATAATGATAATCCATCCATCCATCTCAATCAATCTTTTTTTTCTCTTTCTGGTTTTGGTTTTCTTTTTTGTTCATGAATCTTCTATGAATTTCATTTTCAAATTCTGCTTGATTAACATTGTTTCCATTTTTTTCTGGTTTAGTTTATGTTCACTTTGTGTGTTGGTGTTTGTTGGTAATATTAGTTGCTTATTATCTGAATGTATCACTTTTCGTCAATTTTTCTTAATGTATCCAATATCTAATGAGATAATGTCAATTGTGTCTGTGCGAGTGTTTTGTTTGAATATTTGATTACGTGTTTTGAATTACTAAATGATGATAACAAGTAATTTTACTTAATTTAAGGTAGAAACAAAAAAAACTACTTTCCCGGAAAGTTTCTCTACCTATTTTTTTCCAAAAATTGAATTATAATAAGAATTTTTCTCTTTCCTTTTGACATTTTCCTGAGAAAAATGATGATGTTTTTTTTGATCTTTTTTTTCTGTACTTAGGAATAAGCTTTGACGTAAATATTGTTGCTGTTTTCAAAGACAGTCGAACAGGGATTATTATTCAAAAAAAAAAACACTCCACAATGAGAGAATGTTTCCAGCAATAAATTATTTAAAAATTCTTAAATTCAGGAATTTCAAATTAGAATCATATATGGGATATAAACTTTTTTAACACTCTGGTTGTCTGTAAGAGTGTATTTCATTTGTCCAAAATATATTCTTCACCTTGGTTCAGACAAATGTAATAAAGAAATTGAATGGAGAAGAAACATTTACGGAAAAAGAATTGTAAATGTTTCTTTCTGGACAAACAAAACAACAAAAAAAAAAACACAGTAAAGATATCATTCTTTAGGAATAACATTTAAAGAATGAATTCTGAAATTGGAAAAACGAAAAATGTTTTTGAATTTTTTATTTTCTTTTCCTTTCACACAAACTAAACATTTGGACAAAGTGGTCATAAACGAAAGAATGTAGGTGTTCAGAAGGTCAGGAAATGAAAATGAACCAAAAAAATGTAGCCAAATGATAATGATGTTGAGAGAAAAATTCTTTCGTTTATGGATGCTATTTTTCGTTTCGTTTCGTTTCAATTTTCTGCATTACACTTCATTCCAGATGTGTGTGTGTGTGTGTTTGAGTGTTTATGTTAGATAATAAAGATAATAATAATAATAATGACTGCGACAAGAATTTTTTTGAATTTTTTTTCTTGCTTCTTTCAACTTCATCGTCTTCGCTGTTGTTGTTGTTGAAAATATTCAAGTGTTATTCATTCATTCTCTCTCTCTCTCTCTCTCTCTCTCTCTCTCTCTCTCTCTCTAGCTGCTTGTTCTTCAAAACATTGTTAAAATTTTTCTGTATCGTTTTCTCTGGTTGCAGTCGATTCTCTGGTTTGCAGTGGATTCTCTGATTCCATTATATTACCCAACGACACACAGACACACAAACACGGGTGTTTTTTATATTGTTTCACAGGAATGGATGTTTTTCTTCTTCTTCGTTTTTTTTATATTCAAAATATCTCTGTATGTGTGTGTGTGTGTCATACACATTTGGTGGATATTTTCAATCTCAGTGTATCACTGGTGCTTCATTTTGATAAAATAATGATTTTAAGAAAAAAATGCCAGACACACATTGTGAAATACAAATTAAAGTAGCAAAAAAAAAGTTCATACCTTAATGGGTTTTTTTTGTTGTTCTAAGTGTAGCAAGTTAGTAAATTAGATTTTTTTGCAGTACCGGTCTTTGATTACCGAAATTTGAAAAATAAATAAAAAATTTAACTAAACTAAGATAAAGATAAAGGAAGAAGAAGAAAATTGAGATGTAATAAGAGTGTAATAGCAAAAAAACAAAACTGTCAAGTTATAATCTAATTTTTTATCGTTTGATTCAATATAACTAAGTAATGTTTGAAGATTCTGTAAATTCTGGAAACATTTCTCGCTACAATGAATATCAAACACACACACACAAAAAGTATGAATGTTTATAATTAAATTATAATAAAGAAGAAGAGTAGTAGAAGAAAAAATTTGATTTTTACAGATCAGATAATTTTTTTTTCTTTCAAAAAAAAAGAATATTGATTGTTGGCTGTTGTTGTGATTTTGTATCATTTTGGAGAAAGAGTAGCGAGAAATTTGCCGGGATTCTTGAATAACAAATTTTTTTCTTTTTTGCTTTTGCTTTCTTCCGATAAACATTCTAAAGAAAATGAACAAAGAACAACAACAACAATAATTAAAGTAAAGACCTCTAAGAAATTCAATTTAATTAAGACGAAAAGAAATGGACAAGTATGACACATTTGAGAATCTAATTTATCAAACAAACAAACAAAAAACATGGCAAAAGAATCATTTTTTGGGATGGTAAAACTTTCTCTCTTTTCAATATATTCATTATAGAGAAAAATCTCCAGAATCTCCAACAATGATGATAGATTTAGGCCAACGGTAGTGTGTTTAATCAATCAATTTCATTTCGTTCAACCGACCAACTAACCAACCAAGAAAAATAATCAATATTTGATCAAAAAGATAAGAATCAGCGAAAAGTGAGAGAAGAAATCGAAATTGAATGTTGAAATTCATGAATCAAATCGATGATATCGACCGAATAATAACAAGAACCCAGATGTAAAATGATTGTAATTTCAAAAAAAAAATTTATAATTAAAATTTTCAAATTATAAATAAATAGAAAGGAGAAAAGTATTTTTGTTTGTTTGAACTTTGATTCGAAAATAAAATAAAATAAGTTTTTTTTATGACCAAAAAAGAAAAAAAAATTATAATCCTGGTTGTTGTAATTAATGTGTATTACAAGTGTATCATTCATGAATAAATGAAATGAAAATGTAGCGAAATGAATAAATGTAGCGAAAAAAAGCATTACAAATTAAAATATTAATGAATTGAATGAATGAATCAGGTGCGTATGAATAATGAATATTATATTATAATTTTATAAGTTTATAATTTTCGTTTTTTTTAATTATTAAATATGAAAAAAATTGATGATGATGGATGTTTTTAATATTAATATTAATGTTAATGTGTGTGTGTGATGCTTGTAAATTAAAAAAAAATCAAAATAACATTCTTGTCGTCATTTTTGCTACTTTTTTTTCTTTGTTGCTTTTTGTTTAATAAAAATGTAATTTTTTTTGTTTTAAAACTTCATTTACTGTTGATGTCATTGGTGTTGGAAATGAACGATGATTAGCATCTTTTAAACAATAACCTAAATCTCTACGTATATGATCCATTGGTATATCACGTATCAATGTCATATCGATTAATGATGATGAATTATTTTCAATCCATTGTGAATTTAATGGTGATTTTGTTATAATATCGATAAAATCTTTATTAATTAGTCCAAGACGTTCAACTAATGTTGTACATTCCATTAATGCGGCAACTTGATTTGAATAATAAATAGACATCATAACATTCATTTTCGATGCAACACCAACATTTTCACTTAGAAAATATACATGTGAACTAAATGATTCAAAACATGAACTACAATCATCAAATAATGAACGATTACCGGCAACTAATGCCATCATTTTGCCTTGTTCAATTTGTTCTGGTAATGAACATAATAATAATGGTGCTTCCAAATATCGACCACCTTTTGATTTAATCCAATTATCAATTTCAATTGAAATTGAATAATCCATTGATGTTAGTTCAACATAACCTTTTGTTGGATCAATTTCATTCGATATACCACAATTACCGAAAAATATTGATTGTGATGCATTTGAATCATTTAAACAGGAAAATGTTATATCCGATTCACGAACAACATCACCCGGTGTTTTAACCGTATTAGCACCTAATTTTTCAAAATCTTTACATTTATTTGGTGTACGATCCCATATGGTTAATTCATGTCCAGAATCAATCAATAATTTTGCTAAATTTTGTCCAATTTTACCAAGTCCAATAAAACCAAATTTTAAACTTGATGGTTTCGATCTATTCGATTTATTTACCAATTTCATTTCGGAAACAATATTTGTTTGTTTATTTGAAGCATTATTTGTTGTTGTAATTTTTGGTTGTTCAGATTTGAGCGGAATATTTTGTTCATGAACAGGTGATGATGATGATTGTACAGCAGCAGCAGCAGTTTTCATTCGTTTTGATTCGGCATTTGAAACCGAAGTAGCCGAAGCTGAAGCTGAAGGTTTTTTACCCGTAGTAACAACAACAGTAGTTTCTTGTTCATTTGAATTTTCAAAATTACGTTTTTCTTTTTTAAACGGTGTACGACTATAGTCACGTGTTAATGATGATGGACTATTTATAGTTGTTACTTTTTTCGATTTAAAAACTTCATTTGTAAATTTTGAACTATTATCCGGTGTTGTTGATGTAACATTTGTAATTGATGATGTTGTTGTTGTTCCTTTTTGTTTTGACCATTGTTCTTCAATCTTTTCACAAGCCATTTTAAATGATTTAGATTTTTTTGGTCCACTGGAAAATTGTTCACGAAATTCTTCATATGGTTTAATATTATCTTCAGTAACACGACCAAAATCTTCCGAACCAAAAAAACGTACTAAATATGAATTTTTTATTTTACGATTATTTTTTACTTGATCATCCGGTACGATTGTAGCAGGCCAATAATTAAAACCTTTTACTTTTGCCCATACTAAATCACCTAATTTATATTTACTGTCACTAGTTGATGTTAATTCGGCCATTTTTTTGTTTTGTTTTCAAATAGGAATTTACTTTGTAAGTAAATGAATGAATGAATAAAAAAATCGTTGATAAACCAAAAAAAACAAACAAATTATTTTCGTTTAATGAATGAATGAATCGATCAGTTGTTGACAAACCTAAAGAAATGAACAATGATTTTTTTCAAAGTTAAATTCAATTGATAAAAACAAACATACCCAAAAAACAGATGATTTTGAAAGAATTTTCTCAACAAAAAAAATATAAACAAATAAATTCTGTAGCCGTATTTTCGTTAATTGTCGGCACTTTTTTTGTTTGTTGGTTCGATTGGATTTTTGGATGGATGTCGGTTGGAAAAAAAGCGCCAGTAACAAACATGGAGGCATACAAAGCTGCGAGTAGAATCATTTATTGTGAGCAAAACACAATAATGGTGGTAGTGGTATAGCAGCAGCAGCAGCAGTGAATATCATTGTATAAAATTGGCAATATTTCATTTTTATCAATGGCGTCTTTGTGCAAACAAACGAAAAAACATTCGAAAAACGCATGCGCTAATGGGTAACGCGCGCGCTTTTTTTTCTTTCGTCTTTCGACATTGTTGTTTTTGTTGAAAATATTGTAACAAGCGTAACGCATGTCTGAATTTTTGAATTTTTTTGATTTGCTACTTTCAAAGTATGAAAAACATACATACCATAGATATCGATTTTTATCGATTATATTCGTTCGTCATTTGTTTTGATTATTTTTTGTTTTTTGATTGCATGTTTTGGGCGCTGGTGTTACACAATAATTCAATTACATTATGCAAAAAACTGTGTTCGTTTTTTTGAATTTTTTCGTTTTTATCGAACTTCAATTTTTTTAATTACAATTTTCTGTCTGTGATATTATCCAAACTTTATTTGTCAACACATATGTTTACGTCGAATAGTAATCCTGTTTTTTTTCCACAAAAATTTTTTTTCCATGACAAAATCAAACCAATATCGATAAATCACCGAATATGTTTATAGACTTATCCGTATTTTTATTTGGATCTGGTAAGCTAATCTGGTATTATTTTCTCGAATACAATGACATTACTAATTGAAATTTTCCTTGTTTCTTCTTCTGTTTTGATAGTCTCATTTATTGTGATTCCTTGGATCATATGGAAAATGATCTCAAATATACAATTTAGTCATAAAGAAGGTAAATCAGGTTTTCTTACATTCATCACCGGTAGCTATTTAGCACCACAAAATTGTAAAGTTATATTTGATTGGCAATCACCGACAACTGTTTCAAATTTAGCTACATTTATAATAAAAGTTTGTATCAATTATATCTAGCTACGGTTATTTTATTGTCTTATTTTGGTCAATCCTCATATAGTTTTATCAACGTAATCATAAACCATATCCAATAACTGCTGATGATAGACTTTCGGTACATATAACAAATGGTTTACAAGTTGTGCCTTGTTCAATTGAATTTGGTGATCTAAATCCATCATTAGCAAATATTGCACGTGTTAGTTTTTCACCGAAAAAATCCGGTAATTATACTATAAATATTCTGGTCGGTAATACATTTACACATTTACGTGGTTCACCATTTACCGATATCTATTTCGAACCATTAACACCTTCTCCTCATGTATGTACTCGATTTTTTTTTGGCTTTTGCTCTATCTAATCTAATCTCTTTTCTCTCAACATAGGAAACTTTATTTGTTAATCACTGTTCAACAGTTGTTTGTATTGCTAAAAATCTGCATGCATTAATTATTGAAACAAGAGATCGTTTTGGTAATCTTTGTTTATTGGATAGTGAATTGAATAAAAATTTTGATGAAAGTCAAGATTTTCAAGTTACATTCACGGAAATATCAACTGAACAACAAATCGATACTTGTTATTATTGGAAAAGAGAAATTTGTGATAATTCAAGAATTGTATTGATTATTGCATTTGAATTATCCGGTGTTTATCATGCATTAGTATCATATAAAGGAACATTATTAAAAAATGGTGATTTTAATATTGTTTGCCTTACGGAAAATGAATCGGAAATTGTTAAAAAATGTACATTACATTCAAAAAGTTGTTATTTTAATGCACGGTTATTACCACCAAGATCACAACAACAACAACAACAACAATCATCAAAAGATTCAACGAATGAAATTAAATTGAAAAATGTTGTTTGTTTTATATCACCAAAACAGCTTAAAATTGAAAAATATTTTCTTAAAATTATACCAAAACGTTTATCAACATTTCGTTTATTACCATCGACTAAATTTTATTTTAAACGTAATAATCATCTGCATAATAATTCGGATCTATTCCCGTTATCGACATCATCATCATCAACAAATTTGAGCAGCTATAATGATGATGATTTACCAAACCAATCGACCACTTTCAAACAATGGGAACCATATATAAATCCAGAAGAATTTATTATGATTGATGATGGTGCACAAACACCAATCGAATTAATAACACCACAACGTAATATTATTGTTGCAATTTTTACATATTTTCTTTTAAATCGTATTGGTGGTAGTGAATCATTTCGTGATAAACAAGATTTTTTCTATTCCGAAGTACGTCGTCATCATCAAAAAACTAATTATTTACCAGGTCGAATTCATTTGAAAATATCCAGAGAAAATTTATTAGATTCATCAATGAAAGCAGTACGATCATCAAATGATTGGTTAAAAAAATTTAAAATTGAATTTATTGGTGAAATTGGTATTGATTGGGGTGGTCTGCGTCGTGAATGGTATACATTATTATGTAAAACATTGTTTGATCCGAAACCATCAATGTCAATCGATAACGATGATACACCGTTATTTATACGTTTTAAACAAGATAAACAAGGTCTTATTCATCTTAATCCACATTGTAAAAGATTCGCAGCATATGAATTTGCCGGTAGATTAATTGGAAAATGTTTATTGGATTCATCATTTTGTCCAAATGAAAAATGTTTGATAAATGCACGTTTTTGTCGATCATTTTTAGCACAATGGATTGGATTGAGAGTAAATTATCGTTATTTTGAACAAGATGATCCTGATCTTTATATAAGTAAAATTAAATTTATATTGGAAAATAATTGTTCATCATCATCGCTGGATTTGAGTTTTTGTGATGAAGAATATGATCTGAATGGAAAACTTATACGTATCGTTGATCTTATACCGAATGGTTCAAATATTCGTGTAACCGAAGCGAATAAAATTCGTTACTTGGATGCATTAGCACAATATCGTTTATCGATAAAATGTAAAGAACAAATGTCAGCATTTCTTAAAGGTCTAAATGATTTAATACCGGATAATTTATTAAGTATATTTGATGAAAATGAAATTGAACTGTTGGTTTGTGGTGCAACCACTTATTCCCTATCGGATTTAAGATTAAATCATGTTGTTACTGGTGCTATTTATGATTTTCAAAAAATTATCGATTGGTTTTGGCGTTCATTAGCCAATTTTTCGGATGAAGAATTTGGACGTCTTTTACAATTTACTACTGGTTGTTCAATATTACCACCAGGTGGATTTTCTGAATTAAATCCACGTTTTCAAATAACATCATCATTAACATATGGAACATTACCAACAGCACATACTTGTTTTAATCAGATTTGTCTTCCGGATTATGATACATTCGATGATTTTGATCGTTCACTTAGAATAGCAATCACTGAAGGTTCAGAAGGTTTTGGTTTAGTTTGATGTTGAAAATGTTTTTTGTTTTTTTTTGTTATTTTTTGTCGAAAGAATTTTAATTTTTTTTAAAATGAATAAAAAAAATGTTTATGAAAAAAAGTTGATGAGAAAATTTCCCGTAAAACATGATTTTCCCTCCAAATTTAAATTTTGCGCCAATTTTTTTTTTCAAATGACTCCGCCTTCAACGTTGATGATGATTTTGCATATAAAAAGGGTCGATCAAACTGGCTCACGTTATTCATTTGCTTTTTAGTTTTTGTCAGGTTATCATCTCATCTTGTCGATTCAAAAACAACAAAATAATTTCAAATAATGGCTCGTACCAAACAAACAGCCCGAAAATCAACTGGTGGAAAAGCACCAAGAAAACAATTGGCAACCAAAGCTGCCCGAAAATCGGCACCAGCAACCGGTGGTGTAAAAAAACCACATCGTTATCGTCC